GCCCCCCTTTGGGGAGCTGCCGGGCCGGGGGGGGGGGGGGGCATCTCCTTTGGGCCTTTGAGAGCGGGAACACCTCCTTGGCCAGACTTCACCCAGCCTTGCCACGGCCCTGTCCGCCCCTGCTCCTGGCCCAGGAGTGGACCGAGAGAACACAGCTGCCAAGCGCGTGGAGCCAGCAGCCAAGCAGCCCTGGGTCTGGCCTTCCCAAGGGCCTACTGTGCGCCGCGCCTGCCCATGTGCCAGCACTGAGGAGACAGGCTCAGGGCAGGAACTCGGAGCTCACTGCGACCCGGGTCTGTCCGCCTCCACTTCCCTCCCTGGTGTCCCTCTGTAACTGTCCTCTCCTCACCACCCTGCCCCATGAGGAAAGCCCAGGCCGAACCAGCGGCGTATGTCACTCAGGGCCTGGATGCAAGGTGTGCGTGTGTGCAGTGTGACAGGGCCAGGGGACACGCTGCGAGGTTGTCACAGGCCCTCTGTTTCTGCCATAGTGCCACGGGGGTGGCATTAGACCATGGCTTCTCAGGAGCATGTGGCAAGAGAGGAGCCCTATTCGGGGTGGGGGTAAAGATGCACTCCCCTCTGTCTCTGCTGCTGAGACAAACTGGAAAATGACTAGACACGACACTTCAGACCACTGGCTCGGAGTGAGAGAGTGGGCACCCACCGCCAGACGCTCCAGGTGAGGGCAACAGTCACCCCATGGGAAGTGGTGTCCAACCAAGTCATGGGGACCCGCAAAGCGAGAACGACACAGTTGGACCCGGCCCCTAGACAATGGGGAGCTCCCAACGGCTCTGGACAGAAGGGCACAGTGAGCGCGGGGCTGAAAGGCCAACCGTCCTGCAGAGCCAGCAGGAGCTGCCGGGACCTCAGATGGAGAGCAGCCCACTGTGGCCACCAGTGCTGGGAGACACACCTTCCCTACAGAGGGGGAGCCTTGGAACAGAGAGGCAAAGGGACCTTGGAGATGATTCAAGGCATGGAGACTCCCCTTGATGGACGTGGACATAGGCCCTGCCACCTGCCCAGTGACTCCGAGGACGGAGGGCAGCTCACGTTGCCTCAGAAGTGCAGGAAGTTACCTGAACACTAAGATGGGGACTCCAGTTGCAGGAACCGGGCAGATCTGCGAACCTTCCACCGCCCTGCAACTTCCTCTTTCTGACTGCAGTCCGCCGTGTTACTGGCCTGCACACACCTCTGCGGCTTCTGAAGCAGCAGTGGATAAGGAACTCCCGGTACCATGCGGAAGGGGCTGGTTTTGTATCTCGGTTTGTGTACCCACTTCCGTATTGCCGAGAATGGCCAGGGAATGGCTGCCCTTGTCAGACCCTCACAGCTTAGCTAGGCTGAAATGTTGCTCCTGGCACTTAGGGACGGGCTGCTGACGGCGCAGGTACCGAGGAGCCCAGTCCCTGTGGTGAACCTCCCCAACATGGAAGCAGGTCGGTGACTTGGTCTCCACGGAAACGTAAGGTCACGCTGCTTAAATAAGAGCAGCCAGAGAGAGTGACCAGCTGCCGACAAAGAAAACACTGTCTCCCATCTCAGCTCTCACAAGGTCCACGTTATTCATCCCCATTACACAGACGGGCAGACTGCCGCCAGCACACCCAGCGTCAGCCCCTCACCTCCGGCTCTGCCACTAGGACAGCGGCTGGGCTTGGCGCTCTGCACACTGGCTGGTGGGTCATAAACGCAGGAGCGGAGCTGGGCCAGTCCACACCCGGACCTCGGAGCTCGCGTCAGGGCGCAGACAAGCACGGCTGAGCAGGAAGTGCCTGGCTGTGGGGCCTTGGGAGGCCCATGTCCGGCCCGGG